TGGATGAGGTGAAGTTCTTGGGCCACGTGATTTTAACTGAGGGGATTACTGTTGATCCGGCTAAGGTGGAGTCGGTGTTGTAGTGGGAACGCCCGAGGACTGTCACGGATATTCGGAGCTTTGTGGGCTTAGCGGGTTACTATCGGAGGTTCATTGAAGGATTCTCTAAGATAGTAGCGCCTCTGACCCAGCTGACTAGGAAGGAGCAGCCATTCATTTGGACTGATGCCTGTGAGCAGAGTTTTGTTGAGTTGAAGAGGAGGTTAACTACTTCTCTTGTGCTGGTGTTGCTGGATTCTGGTGAGCCTTTTGACGTGTACTGTGATGCCTCTCATCAGGGTTTGGGGTGTGTGCTGATGCAAAACAAGAGAGTGGTGGCATATGCTTCAAGACAACTGAAGAATCATGAGAGGAACTACTCCACTCATAACTTAGAGTTAGCAGCTGTGGTGTTTGCCTTGAAGATCTGGAGGCATTACTTATATGGTGCTAGGTTCAGCGTCTTCAGTGATCATAAGAGTTTGAGGTATCTATTTGATCAGAAGGAGCTGAACATGAGGCAGAGACGGTGGATGGAGTTTCTGAAGGATTATGATTTTCAGTTGATGTATCATCCGGGCAAGGCCAATGTAGTAGCAGATGCGCTGAGTAGGAAATCTATCCACATGTCAAGTATGATGATGAAGGAGCTGGAGCTGGTTGAGGAGTTCAGAGATTTGAATCTCTGTGTGGAGTTAGCTCAGGATCACATTAGCTGTGGGATGATTACCATAACTAATGAGTTCTTGAGGCAGGTTGGACTTAAGTAGTTGCAAGACGCTGAGCTAGTGAAGCTTCTTGGATTGCTGGGTACTGAGAAGGTTGTAGGCTTTGAGCTGGGAGAAGATGGAATCTTGAGGTTTAAGGGCAGAATTTGCCTACCTCAGGATGCTGAACTGAAGAGAGCTGTGTTGGATGAGTATCACAAGAGAAGACTTAGCATACATCCGGGTATGACTAAGATGTACCAAGACCTCAGGAAGAACTTCTGGTGGTCTGGTATGAAGAGGGAGATCGCTGAGTATGTGGCGGCCTGTCTGACCTGTCAGAAGGCAAAGGTTGAGCATCAGAAGCCGAGTGGGTTGATGCAGCAGATAGAGATTCTGGAATGGAAGTGGGATAGTATCACTATGGACTTTGTTGTTGGGTTGCCTAGGTCAGCTAGGAATAGTGATGCTATCTGGGTAATTGTTGATCGGTTGACCAAGTGTGCACATTTCTTGCCTGTCAACATCAAGTGGTCCTTGGAGAAGCTGACACAAATATATGTGAGGGAGATAGTACGATTGCACGGGGTGCCTTCTAGTATTATTTCTGACCAAGATCCGAGGTTCACTTCTAGATTTTGGCAGATTCTACACCAAGCTCTAGGCACGAAGCTGAAGCTGAGTTCTGCTTATCATCCGTAGACGGATGGTCAGTCAGAGAGGACAATCCAGTCCTTGGAGGATTTGCTGAGGGCTTGTGTGTTGGACCACTTGGGTAGCTGGGAGGAGGTCCTACCACTGGTGGAGTTTACCTATAACAACATCTTTCATGCTAGCATTGGAATGGCACCGTTTGAAGCCTTGTATGGCAGAAGATGTAGGACTCCTCTATGCTGGTACCAGGAAGGTGAGTCAGTGGTTGTGGGACCGGAGTTGATCCTACAGACTACTCAGAAGGTGAAGATGATTCAGGCCAAGATGAGGACTGCTCAGAGTAGGCAGAAATCATATGCGGATAAAAGGCGTAAGCCTTTGGAGTTTGCTGAGGGGGAGCATGTGTTTTTGAAGGTGACTTCGACTTCTGGTGTGGGCAGAGCACTGAGGGCACGAAAGTTGACACCGAGGTTCGTGGGTCCCTATCAGATCATACATCGTATAGGTCTGGTTGCTTATCAGTTGGCTTTGCCACCATCTCTTTCAAACCTGCACGATGTATTTCATGTGTCCCAACTGAGAAAGTATGTTCATGACTCGAGTCATGTAGTGGAGCTGGATGATGTACAATTGAAGGAGAACCTGACCTTTGAGAAGTTGCTTGTAGCTGTGGTCGATCGTACGCTGAAGGAGCTGAGGGGCAAGTCCATTGCTCTGGTGAAGGTGCTGTGGGATGCAGCTACTGGTGAGGCTACTTGGGAGGTGGAGCAGCAGTGCAGAGAGCGGTATCCATTTCTTTTCCCAAGTAAGTCTGTTTTCGGGGACGAAAACTTTTGTTGTTGGGGAGGTTGTGAGGACCCCTTTTTCCTTTTCCCTTCCCGACTCCATTTCCTCAGTCACTCTAACTCTCATTTCCTCTTTACTCACTCTCACCTTCTCCTTCTTCTTGCTGCTGATTTCCTTTCCTTGTGGTGACCTTAAATTGAAGATGCTGATCAAGCCTAGGTAGGGCTAGCTGAAGATTTCCTCCTTTCTCCGTTCGCTTTCAAGTTTCTTCTTCTCCATTCCTCCATCCCGAAGCTCGGACCTTCAAACCGAGGTAAGGAAAGTTAGTTTTGCTGTGTTTGTGGCTGAAATCGAGCTCTAGAGGCTCAAATTTGCTGGTTGACAATTTCTGATCCTTGATCTTGATTGTTGGAAAAATGGACTTGAGGGTTTTTGCGTTTTCTTGAGAAATTTGGGTCTTTCTGGATTGTTGCATGCATGGGTGAAAAGATGGTGTTTTTAGACTCTATGATGAAAATGTGGTATTGTGGCTGGCTTGCATGTGTTAGATAAGTGAAATTTTGCAGGTTTTGGATGAAATCTTCGAACTTGGGGAAACTGCTGTTGTGTTTGCGCCGGGCATTGTTCTTTGCGTCGGGCGCGATGACAGTGGTGACACATTTTCTGGTGCCGCGCTGGGCACGTGTTTCACCTCGCTGGGCGCGGAGGCTCCTTGGGAGTCTCTGCCAAGAGGGTGCTGGGCGCAATGCGAATTGTGCCGGGCGCGAGACCCTGTTAGGTCTCTACCTTCCCCACGCTGGGCGCGGGTTAGGCTACGCCGGGCGCGTGAGACTCCCTTGAGTCTCTGCCTGGGCTTGCGCTGGGCGCAATTGAATATTGTGCCAGGCGCGGGGGAGCCTTGAGTTCTCTGGCTGAGGCACGTCGGGCGCGAGTATGCTTGCGCCGGGCGCGCTGGTCCCCCGGTGACCTCTGGATGTGCCACGCCGGGCGCAACCATGAGTACGCCGGGCGCGCAAGGAGGTGTTAACTTGATGTGCAAATTAACTGATAAACTTTGCTGAAATTGCTGAAAGAGGTTGTTTTAAGCTGAATTTGATGTTATGCTGTGCTGAGTTGGCTGTTATTGATAAGTTTAAATGCTTTAAATATGTTATTGCTGTGTTCTAGAATGATGGGCTGAGGTGTAATTAGCCAGCTGTGTTGAACACTACTAACTATGCTGTATGCTGATGTATTGTGTTGTGCTGTTAGCCACCATTGTGGTGCAGTTATAACCACTATTGTGGTGCTATTATAGCCGCTATGGCAGTGCTGTTAGCCACTATGGTGGTGCTGTTATAGCCCCTGAGCGGTGCTGATATAGCTGAATGGCTGTGATGTAGTGTAAGTTGTGCGGGTGTGGTGATAGCTGTAGATATTTCTATTTGTATATTATATGTGTATGTTGATTTCTTTACACTAGCTTACTCTTTGTTGTTTCCATGATGTTTAGATTGCAATGATCATACTATGTATGGGAGCAGAGCAGGAATAGGTCGGAGGCTGGTAGTTGGGCTGTAGCTGGCAGTTGGAGCTAATCCTCTTGGGATGTTTGTCTTTTTGTTGTTTAGCTACTCGGTGTAGCAATTGATTGATGTATCTTTTTGTACACTTTAACTCTAGTCAGACTGGAACTTTGTATATCTATATATTCTAGATCTTATATTTATATACTTGTTTTATCTGTCTGGTGTTTCTAGTGTATTGTGCGGTGTGTAGTGACCAGCCGGGTCGTTACAACCACCATCACCACTAACGATAGTTATGACAACGATGATAATAAGGGTGACGATAGTTATACTAATTGTCACCACCAACGTCATTGTTGCCATCATCGCGACCAGTAGTGGTAGTTGTTGTAGTACCATTAAAGGTGGTGGTGGAGGTGTGATGGATGTGAAGATGATGGAGATAACAACAATGTTAGAGAAAATTATGATGATGACGATATGTGATAACTTTATTTATAACTTTTTAATCTATATAAATTATTTTAATCTCAAAGTTATTATTAGTTGTTCTCAAGTTAGTAAGTGTCATGTTGCCCCATACATACATACATACATACATACGGACACACACACACATATATATATATTATACTTCGTTAAATAAATTCAAATTTAAATACAAAATACTTTTTATGAATATATATGTCATTTTTAAATTAATTTAATAAAGTATTAAATAATTTTTAATATTAATTTATTTATGAAGAACTATTAATCTAGAAATTGAATAATTTATATTCAATGTGAAGAGTGAATAATTGATTGAATTAATTTTAGTATAACTTTTGTGGAATAAGTTAATCTTCCCGTATACATATACAAAGGGTTCCTTGTTGAAAACAGCATGAAAGATATAGTTAAGGTAAAAGGTGTCATTGGAAAGCGCAACATAATCAAAATAAAAAATATATTTGATGACGTTAGAGGTAAGTCATGTTAGTGGGATCCAAAACATCGAGAAGAACATGTTAGTCCCTGTCTTTTTTATGAAAGGGAAAACGCTTTTGTTTTTATTTGTTTAATTTATATGAATCGAACTGTAATTTTTACATGGTTAATTAATCAAAAAGTATATTAAAAATAATTTTTTAAAATAATTGTTGTAATAGTTAATAAAATTATACGTCATAAATTTGGTCAGTTAATGATATAAAATCCTTAATATTATCTAATTTTTTAGTGATTTTACTTTTGGTATATATATATTGTTTTTTTCCCTCGGACCTTGCAACAAAGACACAGGGAAAGTGGCGTGTGGATAAAAGAAAATGAAAAATGATGACTATATTTTGTTGCAAGAAAAAGGAGGAAACTACTTTATATTATTAGAATACACAGTAAAATCGAAAAACAGAAAAATAAAAAAAGGAACGGAAAGAATAAGGAGAAACAAACCAACACAAACGCCAATCGTCTTCAGAGGCTCTGTTGTGTGGTTCATAGGTCAGTTTCTTTGATCCCTTCTTTGATTTGAGCCACCCATGGATGTGGTTGTTCTATGTTTTCTGGGAATTCAATTATTATTTGGAATTTTTTTTTATTATTATTTTTGTTTCTGCTTTTCGGCCTATGATCTGAATCTCTGTGATTTTGGATGTTTTATGTGATGGGTTGGGGTAAAGTTTGGATCTTTAGGATATTATCGTGGTGGGTTTGAAACCATTTCTTCTGTGAGATGTTTTCCAATTAAGGTAGTGGTGTTTGTTTTTTGTGGGGTGGAATCTGGAAAATGGTTGCTCTTACCTCATTTTGATAATTGTTTGAGTTTTGAAATTTTTTTTTTATTTTTGTTTCTCACTAGTATAATTAAGGCCTGGCAAATGATTGTTTCCGTCGAGAATCGAACTCGAACACTATCCGAATGATTGGGTTCAACACATTTACCATTTGTATTCAACTCTTTGGTTTGTTTTGAAATTGTTTGAAAATATCGTATTTAAAATTTATTGTTTTATTCCCTAATTCATTGGATTTGAGTAATGTTTGGTATAATTTTATTCAAACGGGTGAAATAGGTGTCTTAGAAATGGATACATTTACTATGATGTGGATTACACCTTTATCTCCTGAAGAACACGTTTTTGTTAAACTATTTATTTATTGTTGGCGTGGTTCCTTCTTTTAAGGTAAAGGGAAAAATAGAAATGGATTCTGACGTTAATTTTGGGGATTCTGTTAGTTGTGGCCAATCAATGAATTAGTTTTTATTGGAGATCCTGCATATTTTATATTTCTCACGGTGTCCAATTCCCATGCTTTCTGTTCTCAAATGTTTTTCAGTTATTTTAAATATGGATATTCATCTTTAATTTCATTATATATCAATTATAAAAAATAAAATGACTTTTTGTGTTTTTTCCAAAAGGTTTTTGTCCATAGGAATTTCTGGTATATGATGTCCATTTGATGTTGCGCATGGTGCCCAGACCAAAGATAGTTAAATTTTCATTCATTATGTTGGAGATGAAATGCATTGTAATTTCATCCTTTTTCCCTTTCTATTTAAAATTATATTAATTTGGGAAATTTTTTTTGCCTTTTAACTTGGTACGACCAATAATAGACACCACCACTGTGTTAACATACATTAAGAATTGCACGGGGTATAGAATTGCACTGAATCTTATGATGTAAACCTTTTGGATATATGTTGAATAGGAATTTTATGTAGCAATTTAGATACATAAATTATGTTGTTGCTGCAAAAATGGGAAAGCAATAATGTAATAGGGCCTGCTTGGCTAGCTTCTCCATAAACACTTTTAGAAGAAAAAATTAGGAAGAAAAATAAAAATAAGCTTCTCTATAAATTAAAACTAGTTTATGCATGAGTTAAAAATAAGATTTTGAAGAAGTTAAAGAAGAGAGTTTCTACAAAATAGCCTATGCATAAACTAATTTTAGTTTATAGAGAAACTTATTTCATTTTTCCTTCCTATTTTTGCTCTCCTAGAATTGCTTTTGGAGAACTTTACCCAAATAGGCCCATAGTGTGCTATCTAGATGATTTATTAGTAAGATTTTTTGATTCTATGCATGGTTATTTTACATTGTCATTTTATCATCAGATTACAATGCCTAGCCACTCTGATCCAGGTTATAGAACTCACCTAGCGAATTACTGGAAAGTTTCCTTCATAATTCAGTTGTAATTGTAGTGCTTGACTGTTTCTTTACATATAAAATGAAGATTGATTCTATTTTATTTTCTTCTGTATATAAGCAGGACAAGTATATAGTAATTAGTAACCAATAGAATGTCTCCATCAGTGAAATCAAAATCCAAGTCCCAGGAGAAGGCCTCTGCAAGGGCTGGTAAGGAACAACACAAGACTTCTCCAAAGACTTCTGTGTCTCCAACTCAGGGGAGTAGTGTTTCTGCTAGTGCGCACAATCCAATCTTGGGAACATTACAAACTTCAGAAACATCGTTGGTTGCTTCTTCCGCTCAAGTTCATGAACACAGTCATTTCCCAAAACCAGATGATGCAGATGAGCATTCTAGCAGTCCTCAAGGAACGGTTTCTGAGTGTGATTCTGTTTCTAATAATGGCAGCTGCTCAGGTGATTCCGAAGAGTCTAAAGAGAAGGCAACAAACTCTTTGAGGCTGGATAGTATACCTGGTTGTGATAATGACAGAAGGGAGAAGATCCGCCTGAAGAACGAGAGGAAGCACCAGAGGCAGAGGGAAAGGAGAGCTCAGGAGTTGCATGACCGTTCTTGCGGGTACTTGATGTCAAGAAAGCTTGAATCACTTGCACAGCAGTTAGTGGCGATGGGGTTCTCTTCTGAGCGAGCAACGATGGCTTTAATGTTGAATGATGGCAAATTGGAGCAATCAGTATCCTGGCTATTTGAAGGGAGTGAAGAACAATCACAAACCAAGAATACTAACAGCCTTGTAAGTGAGGGTAATTTGAAAATTGACATAAGTGATGAATTTGCTCAGATATCTGCCTTGGAGGTGAAGTACAACTGTTCAAAGCAAGAGGTTGAAAGAGTAGTTGTTGCTTGTGAAGGTGATCTTCAAAAGGCAGAAAATACCTTAAAAACACAGAAGCAGGAATCTCCTGTGACCCGTCCAAAGTCAGAAGATTCTGATCAAAATAATAGTCTGGTGAGATCTCAAGGAATGCCAGCAGTGTCGGTTTCAATGCAGCCAAGAGTGAATGAAAGTGACTTTAACCATTACAACAAGGTAGGTGGTTCTGATTCTGTGTTCCCAGATCTTGAAGGTGGGAATGCACAGTATCTACAGTCAAATCTTCCAAACATGATGACCGAGAAAAGAAGGGGTGTTCCAGGATCAAGCCCTTCTGCTATGTTAGCCATGGCACCATCAATGCAAGCAGCGTCTCCATTTGTTAAAATGGAGGGAGGCCGGCCGATAGCCCTTACAAATGAAGGAAGAATGATTCAACACGGACTGGGAAGGGAGCCAGTAATGATGCAACATCCACAATTCACAAATGCCAAACAGAACTCTATGTTTTCTTTAAATTCCTTTCCCTCAGGAACAGCAGGTTGGTATGTAAATAGTATTCCAGGTGTTGAAAATGTGAGGTCAAATGGGAAGTTCCTACAAACTCAAAACATGAGAAGTGCGAGTCCAAATCATTTGGAGCAATTTTGTCAACCTCCTTATAAAGAATACTCTCATTTCCTTGGACCACCAGATTACTCATCTGCTGGGGTGGGTGGTTTATACAAGCCAATGGGTGCATCATCATCACCTTCATCCACAATTCCTCCTCAACATCAAGGTTCATGGAGCACAAGCGCGCCATCGCCTGCACTTACAGTTCCAACTTCCCTTGGACTATTTTCCGGCCATCAGAATGCAGCCAGAACATTCAGCTCACATTATCACATGGATTGGAACACCGGGGGCATGATGCCAGAATTTGACTACACCAGTATAGATTGGAGTTTGAATGCGCCGTCGTCATCTTCATCGGGTCAAGGGTTGTCTTCAGTGTTGAGAAACAGTTATGGCAATAGGAGGGGGAGTTCATGTATGAGTGGATTGCAAAGTGTTGGCATGGCTAGGGAAAATACATCATCTGCTGGATTGAGAGAGTGGACCACTCCTTTTGCTGGGAAGGACATATTCAGTGTTCCTAGGCAGTTTGTTACCTCTCCTCCTATGTAGTCAGTCTCATATTTTGGGAACTAAAGGGGATTAGTACTTGCTGTATTAATGGTTGTTTCTGGTTTTCCACTGAAATTCATCTTCTAATTGTGGCCTATCATTTTTTTTCTTCTAATGGATGCCTTTGGATAAGAATCTGAATCCAGTGCTTAGTCAATGAACTCTTATCACATGACAGTTTATGTCATGAAGTTGATTTGAAACTCACTAGAAAATACTAAAACAAAAACTAATTAAAATGAATTTAATTGAAATACAGTGATGATATAAAATTCAATGATGAATTGTCGTATAATTTATTTGTGTGGATCACAGCGACAGTCATTTAAATAATTTCTAAATAAACTCTTTAAATTCTTTAAACTAACAATATATCACAATTAAATTCTATTAAAATAAGATGTAATATTTATAAATTAATTTTATAGGTTCAAATAAACTTTCAATAAACTCTTCTTTCTACTAAGAAGCTTAAATTTCTCAAGTAGAGTTCCGGATTAAAGCTTTATAGTTGGGACGAAAGTGGTTGAGAAGAGAATAAGTCAATTTTTTTTATGGAAATTAATTATTGTTAAAGTTGGTAAATATTTTTCAATAATAAGATAGTTATATATATATATATATAGAGAGAGAGAGAGAGGAGGGATCCGTTTACTCCAGAAGTAAGTCTATCTAGACTTATTTCGTTTACTAACTCATGTTTTATAACAAATTTCAACGAAAATTAACCGTTGAATTTAAAGTTCTTAATACACAGATCAAATCTGTAAATTTTTAAAAAAATTGAAAATCATTTGATACTCCGTTTTATTAATTCAAATTAATGTATAAAATAATTTTATGACTATCCGTTCATTTAAATTAATAAAATGAAGTATCAAATAATTTTTAAATTTTCTAAAAATTAGCAGACTAATCTAAACATTAAGAATTTTAAATTCATCAATTAAATCGTTGAAATAAAATATGAATTACTAAACAAAAAAAGTGTAAGTAAACTTATTCTATCAGTAAATAGATTCCTCCCCATATACATATATATATATATATA